AAATCCTCACAGCTGGACCAGTAAGCAACATCATGATAAATGGAGAAAAGATTGAAGTTGTCAAGGATTTCATTTTATTTGGATCCATAATCTACACCCATGGAAGCAGCAGTCAAGAAATCAAAAGACACTTTGCATTGGGCAAATCTGCTGCAAAAGACCTCTTTAAAGTGTTGAAAAGCAAAGATGTCACCTTGAAGACTAAGGTGCACGTGACCCAAGCTACGGTATTTTCAGTCACATTAGATGCATGCGAAAGCTGGACAATGAATAAGGAAGACCAAGAAGAATTGATGCCTTTGAACTGTGGTGTTGATGAAGAATATTGAATATACTATGGACTGGCAAAAGAACAAACAAATCTGTGTTAGAAGAAGTACAACCAGAATACTCATTAGAAGCAAGGATGGCAAGACTATGTCTTACATACTTTGGCCACGTTGTCAGAAGGGATCAGTCCCTGGAGAAGGACATCATGCTTGGTGAAATACATGGTCAGCAAAAAAGAGGAACACCCTTAACGAGATGGATTGACACAGTGGCTGCAACAGTGGGCTCAAGCATAACAACGATTGTGAGCATGGTACAGGACCAGGCAGTGTTTCGTTCTGTAGCACATAGGGTTGTTATGAGTTGGAACTGACTCGATGGTACCTGTCATGGTTTGAATTATGTCCCCCAAAAAATGTGTGTATCAATTTGGCTAGGCCATGATTCCTGGTACTGTGTGATTTTCCTGTATGTTGTAAACCTGCCTCTATGATGTTAATGAGGGAGGATGGGTGGCATTTGTGTTAGTAAGGCAGGACCTGATCTACAAGACTGGATTGTGTCCTGAGGCAATCTCTTGAGATATAAAAGACAGAAGTGAGCAGTGAAACAGGGGCACCTCATACCATCAAGAAAGCAGTGCCGGGAGCAGAGCGCATCCTTTGGACTGGGGTCCCCGCGCCGAGAAGCTCTTAGTCTGGGAGAACATTGATGAGAAGGCCGACAGAGAGAAGAAGCCTTCCCCTGGAGCTGACACCCTGAACTTGGACTTTTAGCCTACTTTGACTGTGAGGAAATAAACTTCTCTTCGTTAAAACCATCCACTTGTGGTATTTCTGTTATGGCAGCACTAGATAACTAAGACAGTACCTAACAACAACAACAGCATACTACAGACGGAAACCCACTATGGCTGATAACCAAAAAGGCGGCAGTTTGAATCCACCAGGCTCTCCTTGGAAACTCTGTGGGGCAGTTCTACTCTCTCCTACAGAAGCGCTATGAGTCGGAGTCCACTTGACAGCTACACTTTTTTTTTTTTAGTACTACAGACAGAGCCTTGATGGCGCAGCGGTTAAGAGCTCAGGCTGCTAACCAAAAGGTCGGCAGTTTGAATCCACTAGCTGCTCCTTGGAAACCCTAGGGGACAGTTCTGCTGTGTCCTATAGGGTTGCTGTAGGGTCTCTATGAGTTAGAATTGACTTGATGGCAATGGGTTTGGTTTTTTGGTTTCTACTACAGACAGTGGGGCAATTGATAACCCTGACGATGATCCCTAATTATCAAGTGATGTTGTATTTTGTTTTTAGGAGGACAAAGAAGTGTATACTAGCTCTTAAAATACTTCCAGTCAAAATGTTTAAAATTAAAATTTTGATGCTTAAAGGGATAAATTCTCAGTTCTCTGAAAAACTTGACTTTTCAGATTATATTCCCTGAAAGACTGGCGTTTTACTACATGGGAAAATCATACCAGGTAGAAGGTATTAATTTGTATTGTAAAATAGTCACAGTTACTTTACAAGCAGTAAGCTCTTGTTGTTGTTGTTGCCATGGAGTTGATTCTGATTCATGGTGACCCCATGTGTACAAAGTAGAACTGCTCCATAGGATTTTCAAGGCTGTGACCTTTTGGAAACAGATCACCAGGCTTGTCTTCTGAGGCATTTCTGGGTGGGTTCGAATCACCGTCGTTTCAGCTACTAGTCGAGTACTTAACCGTTTGTGTCACCCAGGGCTTCTTACAACACTTTATAAATAACACTTTATGTATTATTCAGTAATAAAAATTTGACTTGCAGCTCTCCAGAAACATGTCTGAATATTTGCAGCACTTGTTGTCTATACCTCTCATTTGTTATTTATTATATTATTATTTGTTCATTAGGTCATATACATAGCCCATCTTCTTGATGGACAGAAAATGTATTCTGATGTTCCTTCTGTGGGGCAGATCCCAGAAAATGTTTATTGAAAGACTAATAATGAACAAGTTATCCTGAGCTTTCTAATTAATCCTTTACTGACCATGTAAATACTTTCCATTATCTTTTTTTCATTTTTTGATTACACACTAAAATCTTTATTGTATTTGAGCAACATTTAATGATTAGAGTTGTTGAAACACTTGAATTACTTCTTATGCCTTGTTCTTCCCTTACTGAATTAAAGGATGGAAGTGGCATGAGGTGTTTGTGGACTGTGAATAGGTTATGGGCTTCAGATGGAACTGCAGGCATGTTCTCCCCTTGATAGGATCATGTGGTGAGGCTGGGAGTCACTGGGGGCATATATCTCAGCACCGTGGGGATGCTCACCTATGCTCGTCCTGTCTTTGATCACAGGTAACTGTGGAGGAAGTCATGACCACAACGGCGTATCTGGACCTTTTCCTGCGTAGCGTCTCCGAGCCAGCACTACTTGAGATCTTCCTCCGTTTCATTCTATTGCACCAGCACGAGAACGTCCACATATTGGACACTCTTACAAGCCGAATCAACACTCCATTTCGGGTAAGCAGAGCCCAGAGGACGGGAACTCCTAACTGGGAACAGACTTCAGGAGGGTTTCTTACTGGAATGAAATTATGAATATTCTCTCTTCCCCTTGTTTTTCTCTTGCAGCCATTACCGTTCTTTTCTTTTGGGAAAGATGAATTAGATAATGTGTTTTGCTATCAGGAGTCCTTTGATAGGACATTTTTCTCAGTTTGTCTGGATTGGCACTTGCTTCTGTAAAACTAACAGAATACACTTCTGAGGAGGCAAGATGCAGGGAAACATATGGGCTTATGTGCTACGTAAAGCCAAGGAACCAGAATGTATCAAGTCTGGGTATTAGAGACCATATTTCTGTCCACAAATTTTTTTTTAATATAGTTTTATTTTGTTTTTGTTGTTGAGAATATACACAGCAGAACATATACCAATTCAGCAGTTTCTACATGTCTAATTCAGTGACACTGATTACATTCTTTGACTTGTGCCACCATTCTTACCCTCCTTTTCTGAGTTGTTCCTTCCCCATTAACGTAAATTCACTACTCCCTAACTTTCCTATCTAATCTTTCAAGTTGCTGTTGTCATTTGATCCCATATAGATAGATCTTAAAAGAGCACAATGATCAAGGCAGACGTTCTTTACTAGTTATGCTAAATTGTTGTTTGGTTTTAAGAAGACTTCAGAGAATATTTTTGGTTTAAGGTTTAAAGGTTATCTCAGGGCAGTAGTTTCAGGGGTTCATCCAGCCTCCAAGGCTCCAGAAAGTCTGGAGTCCATGAGAATTTAAAATTCTGTTCTGTATTTCCCACCCTTTGATCAGGATTCTTCCATAGAATCGTTGATCAAAACATTCAGTAATGGTAGCTGGGCACCATCTAGTTCTTCTGGTCTCATGGCAAAGGAGGCAGTTGTTCATGGAGACAGTTGTTCATGGAGGCAGTTAGCCACACATTGTATTTTCTCCTCCTACTCCTGACTCTCCTTTTTTCTTTGTTGCTCCAGGAGAATACAGACCAATTATTGTGCCTTGGATGGTGGCTTGCAAGCTTTTAAGACCCTGGGCACTACACAATGAACTAGGAGATAGAACAGGAGCACAAAACACATTATTAGGCCAATTAACTGTGATGTCCCATGAAACCATAACCCTAAACCTCCAAACAAGGAACCAAATTCCATGAGATGTTTGGTTGTACATAAGCAGCCTCAGCAGCAGCTCTACAAACGAAAGGTCTGGCGAACTGCTTCTGTAAAGATTACAGTCAAGAAAATTCTCTGGAACAGTTCTACTGTGTAACACATGGGGTTGACATGAGTTGGAATTGACTCAGTGGTAATGGTTTGGTTTTTTTCCTTTAGTTTGGAGCTTTGATTAACTTTGAAAATCCTCTTATACTATCAGTGCCCTAACTTTGCACCCCACTCCCCGAAAGCTGGCTCTATTGAGTTGCAATTTCTGTTTCAAAAGCACCATCAACAAATGAATGGACAGACAAAATATGGTAAATACATACAATAGAATATTATTCAGCCATAAAAAGAAATGAAGTTCTGATCTGTGCTATGACATGGATGAATCTTGGAAACACTGTGCTAAGTGAATGAAGCCAGACACAAAAGGACAAATATTATATGATTCTACTTACATGAAATATCTAGAACAGGCAAGTTTTTAGAGACAGAAAGTAGATTCGAGGTTACTAGGGACAGGAGAGAGGGGACAGTGATGGGAAATTCTTGCTTAATAGATACAGAGTTTCTGTTTGGGGTGATAAAATGTTCTGGAAATAGTGGTGATGATTGTACAACATTGTAGATGTGCCACTGAACCGTACAGTTAAAAATGGTTAAAATGGTAAATTTTATATTATGTATATTTCACCACTATAAAAAAATTAAAATAACCTGAAAAAGCAAAGGAATAATGATTATAACAATGTATTTTTGGATTTGTAACATATATAGATGTAATATATGTAAAACAACACAGAGGTGGGGGAAGAAGAAATAGAACTATGTAGGAGTAACATTTCTGTATCTCACTGCAACTAATTTAGCAAAAATCTAAAGTAGTAAGATTTTGATAAGCCCTAGAGTGACCACTAAGAAAATAAAAAAGTAGCAAAACAAAACAAAACAAACCATTAAATAGGAAGTATTCAATGAATGTAAAAAAAGGCAGTAAAGGAGGGCTAAAAACTCATTGTCGACAAGCTGATTCTGACTCATAGAGACCTTATAGGACAGAGTAGAACTGCCCAGTAGGGTTTCCAAGGGTCGGCTGTGGATTTGAACTGCTGACCTTTTGGTTAGCAGCCAGATGCTTAACCATTGCACCATCAGGGCCCCAAAGGAGGAATAGAAGAACAAAAAAGACATGAAACATACAGAAAACAAAAAGTAAAATGGCAGATGTAAATCCATCTATGTAAATAATAACATTAAATGTGAATAGATTAAACAATCCAATCAGAAGTCAGAGATTATCAGATTAGATTAAAAAAAAAATCCATCTGTATGCTATCAATAGGAGACACACTTCAGATTCAAAGATATAAATAGGTAAAAGCGTTGAAAAAGATGTCATGGAAACAGCAACCATAGAAAGCTGGCATAGTTCTACTAACGTTAGACAAAATCTAAATCAAACAATGTTACTAGAGATAAAGAGGGACATTTTATAATGATAAAAGGGTCACTCCATCAGGAAGATATAACAATTATAAACATACATGCATCTAAAAACAGAGCCTCAAAATACACAAAGCAAAAACTGACAGAATTTAAAGAAAGAAATAGACAATTCAACAATAATTCTGGAAGACTTCAATACTTTACTTTTAATAATGAATGGAACAGCTAGACAGAAGATCAACAAGGAAATAGAAGGATTGAACAACACTATATACCAATAGGCCTTACAGACATCTATACAGCACTGTACCTAACAGCAGAATGTACCATCTTCTCAAGTGCACATGGAATATTCTATAAGATAGACCACATGCTAGGCTATAAAGTAAACATCAATGAATAAAACATGACTGAAACCATACAAAGCATGTTCTCTGATCACAATGGAGTGAAATTAGAAATTAATATCAAAAACAAATTTGGGAAATTCACAAATGTATGGAAATTAAACAACATAGTCCTAAATACCAATGGGTCGGAGAAGAAATCACAAGGGAAGTGAGAATATATTTTTAAGAGGAATAAGAATTAAGACAACATACAAAAACTTATGAGATGCCACCCATCCCCCACTGGAGAGAGCACCTGTGCTGCCAGTGGCCAACTGCCTTACGCCTCCCCTACCCCTTCCCAACCAGAGAGAGTGCTGGTTACCTGCCCGCCCTTGTCCCATTGGAGAGGGTACCTGTGAACCAGCCCCCTGCGAACACATATCCCCTTCTCCCCCAACCATCCTGCCTCCCTCCCGTGGAAGGAGTGCCTCAGCAGCGCCCCCCCGCCCCACCACACACATGCTGGCTTTGCTCCTTATCCATCACCTGCCCACCTGGTGAGGGGCTAGGCATTTCTGTACTGTCAGATAGTGCCTCCTCAGCCATCTCACACGTACAATGAACAGCGACAAGGGCTCTCCCTGCTCCCCACTGCCTGTCCAACAAGGGGCAGGAAGTGAATGCCTCTGTGCTGCCAGGGCAATCACTGAAGCACACCCGACCTGCTCGTACTGGTAAATCAGAACAAAACAAACTTATGGGATGCAGCAAAAGCAGGGCCTGGAGGGAAATTTATAGCTATAAATATCTACATTAAAAAAGAAGAAAAATCACAAACCAAGAACCCTAACCTTCCTCCTTAAGATACTGGAAAAAGAAGCACAAACTCAGAGCAAGCAGAAGGAAGGGAATAATAAGGATTAGAACAGAAATTAATGAAATAGAAAATAATAGAGAAATCAACAAATTATTGAAAATACAAACTTGACAAACCTTTAGCTAGACTAGCCAAGAAAAAGAGAAGGCTCAGATTACTAAAATTAGGAATGAAAGAGTGGATATTCCTATCAATCTTACAGAAATGAAAGGATTATAAGAGAATACTGTGAACAACTGTATGCCAACAAATTAGATAACTGAGATGAAATGAACAAATTCTAGAAAGACATAAACCCCTGAAACTGATTTAAGAAGAAATAGAAATTCTGAATAGATCTATAACAAGTGAAGAAATGAAATGAATAATTATAAAGCTACCCACAAAGAAAACAAAGGTCCAGATGGCTTCACTGCTGAATTCTACCAAACACTTAAAGAAGAATTAATACCAATTCTTCACAAACTCTTACAGAAAATAGAAGAGGAGGGAACACTTCCCAACTAATTCTGTGAGGCCAGTATTACCCTGATAGCAAAACCAGACACAGCACAAGAAAAACATGGAGCAGTCTCTCTTGTGACTATAGATACAAAAACCTCAACAAATTACTAGCAAGCTGAACTCACCAATATAAAAAAGAATTATACACCATAACCAAGTGGGATTTATCCCAGAAGTGCAAGGCCAGTTTAACATCTGGAAATTAGTTAATGTAATACACCATATCAGTAGAATAAAGGACAAAACTCATATGATCATCTCAATAGACACAGAAAAAATATTTGGCAAAATCCAGCACCCCTTCATAATAAAGACACTCAACAATCAAGGAATGGAAGGGAACTTCCTCAATCTGGTAAAGGGCATCTATGATAAACTCATAGCTAATGTCATACTTAATGGTGAATGACAGAAAACTTTCCCTCTAAGATCAGGAACAGGACAAGGATGTTTGTTTTTGATACTTCTATTCATCGTTGAGGTTCTAGCCAGGGCAATTAGAAAAGAAAATGAAATTCAGGTAGTCTCTGACTAATGACAGGGTTCCATTCCGATGACTCCGTCGTAAGTGGGTTCTGATGTAAATCGAATACCTCTTTTTCTTTTTTGGTTTTCATTATTATTGCCTTTTATTATCAGTATCTTTATAATTCCAATCTTTATTTGTCTTTAGGGATTGGAAACATGGGAACATCTGAGAATTATAATATCAGCAAATTACACACTGCAACATTATATGTAATACCAAAAAAAAAAAAAAAAAAGCGAACAGCTGTAAGTGTTGTTCTTTGTAACTTGAATACGTTGTAAATCAGGGACTACTGTAAAAGGCATACAGATTAGAAGTAAAACTATCTGTATTTGTAGATGACATGATCCTGTATATAGAAAATCCTAAGAAATCTGCTAAACAACTGTCTTAGGCTGGGTTTCTCTAGAGAAGCAAAACCAGAAAAGCATGTAAATATATATATATAGAGAGAGGTTTATCTCAAGGAAATGGCTCACACAGTTGTAGAGGCTGGAAAATCCCAAGTCTGTGGGTCAGGCTGGAGGCTTCTCTTGACTGACATAGTTGCAGGGGCTGATGAACCCAAGATCAGTAGGTCAAATAGCAGGCCCCTGGTTGACAGGCTGCAGAGACTGACGAATCCCAAGATCGGCTGGCAAGATGGCAGGTAAACTACTAGCTGAAGTCCCAAGAACTAGAGGTCAGAGGAAAAGGAGCCAGCTGCAGGATCCAGAGTGAGCAAAACACACGAGCCTTGCCAGAAAGTCCACCTATATTGGATGCAGACCACACCCACCAAGGAAACTCCCTTCAACTGATAGGCTACTCACAGCAGATCCTATCAGGAAGGTGATCACTTTAGATCAGATTTCATCCCAGAGGTGATTACGTCATTATACAACTGCCAAACTATATCATAACTGCCAAACCACTGAGAATCATGGGCCAGCAAGTTGACACACAACCTTAACGATCATAACAACTATTAGAACTAATAAATGAATTTGTTAAGGTTGAAGGATACCAGATTAAAATCCAAAAATCAATTGTATTTCTATGTAATAGCAATGAACAGTCTGAAAATGAAATTAAAATAATTTGTAATAGCTTTGTTGTTAGGTGCTGTCAAGTTGGTTCCGACTCATAGCGACCCTGTGTACAGCAGAACAAAACACTGCCCAGTCCTGCACCATCCTCACAATTGTTGTTATGCTTGAGCCCATTGTTGCAGCCACTGTGTCAATCCATCTCTTTGAAGGTCCTCCTCGTTTTCACTGACCCTCTGCTTTACCAAGCATGATGTCCTTCTCCAGGGACTGGTCTCTCCTGATAACATGTCCAAAGTACATGAGATGAAGTCTTGCCATCGTTGCTTCTAAGGGGCATTCTGGCTGTGCTTCTTCCAAGACAGATCTGTTCATTCTTCTGGCAGTCCATGGTATATTCAGTGTTCTTTGCCAACACCATAATTCAAAAGCATTGATTCTTCTTCGGGCTTCTTTTCTCTTTGTCCAGGTTTTGCATGCCGGTGAGGTGATTGAAAACACCATGGGTTGGATTAGTCCTTAAAATGACATCTTTGCTTTTTAACACTTTAAAGAGGTGTTTTGCAGCAGATTTTCCCAATCCAATGCGTTGTTTGATTTCTTGACTGCTGCTTCCATGGGCATTGATTGTGGATGTAATGGCATTAAAAATATTAAAATACTTAGGAATAAATTTAACAACAACAAAAACCCCATTGCTGTCTAGTGGATTCCAACTCATAGAGACCCTATAGGGCAGAGTAGAACTGCCCACAGGGTTTTCAAGGCTGTAATCTTTACAGAAGCAGCCTGCTACATCCTTCTTCCGCGGAGAGGCTAGTGGGTTTGAACTGCGAACCTTTCAGTTAGCAGCTGAGCACCTAACCACGCACCACCAGGGCTCCTTGACAGAAGAAGTGCAAAATTTATACTCTGAAAACTACACAACATTGTTGAAATAAATTAAAGAAGATCTAAGTAAATGGAAAGATAGTTTATATTCATGGACCAGAAGACATATATGGTAGTACCTCCCAAATTAATCTACAGATTCAGTGCAACCCCTATCAAAATCCCAGCTGGCTTCTTCGTTGAAATTGACAAGCTGAATCGAAAATTCTTGTGGAAACTCAAGGGATCCGGAATAGCAAAACAATCTTGAAAAAGAACAAAGTTGGAGGACACAGACTTCTAGTTTCAAAACTTACTACAAAGCCACAGTAATCAAGATAGTGTGGTACTGGCATAAGGATAGACCTATAGATGAATGGAATAAAATTGAGAGTCCAGAAATAAAGCCATGTGTCTGTGGTCAATGGATTTCAACAGGAGTGCCAAGACCACTCACTGGGGGACAAAGTAGACTTTTAAACAAATGGTGCTGGGACAACTGGGAAACCAAATGCAAAAGAATGAAATTGGTCCTCTACCTTACACCATACACAAAAATTACCTTGTAAAGGGGATATTTAGCTCTAAGTTTAAGAGCTAAGACTATAAATTGCTTAGAAGAAAACATGGGGGCAAATTTTTGTGGACTTAAATCAGGCAGAGGTTTCTTAGCTATGATACCGAAAATACAAGAAAAAAATGAATAATAGATAAATTGGACATCATCAAAATTAAAAACTTTTGTGTTCGAAAGGACTCCATGAAGAAATTAAGAAGACAATCCACTGAATGGGAGAAGATATTTGCAAATCATATATGTGATAAGGTACTTGTACGTCAAATAAATAAACAACTAGACTCAATAATAAAAAGACAAATACACTGTGCTGTGCATCCTTGACAGTAGTTTGCAGAGCTCATGGTGGCAATATGTAGGAAGAACACCTAACTGAGACTGGGGAAGGGAGGCACTGGACAGTAGGACTGGGTGGAAGAGCAAAAAGATTTCCTACTGAAGGTAGTGCTTATGCTAAGTCTTTGAGAATAAGTAGTAGTCAGCCTGTGGAGGAGGCAGAAAAAGACATTCCAAGCAAAGGAACAGCATTTGCAAGGACTTGAGATGGGACAGAGTATGAAGCTTCTGGCTAACTACAAACATGCGGTCTGACCTGAGCACAGAGGTATTTTAGGGCAGGCCAAGTACAGCTGTTTCTTCATGGCACCATTATGAATTTCCTTGACCCATTCTGCCTTGAAGACAGCAAGTGCTTATCCTCCTGTATAAAGGATAGGAGCCTAAATTACTTAACATGGCATGGCAGATTGAAAAGAGGATAAATGCACATTTAAAAAAGTATATTAGCACACCCTTAGCATTATGGGAAATAGAACAAAGAAAAATATTTGCCCCAAAGCCGAGATGGGAGCTGAGACTTGGCACCGAGGACTCTGAAGGGAGGGTTGGCCAGGGTACGTGCAGGTTCTGTTAGCTCGGTCTTGTAAATAGCCAATATTCTATTTGAAAATAACCTAGGAAAACAAATGATATAAGCAAGTGGTCCTTTCTCCCCTCTCTCCCCTTTTTCCCCCTCCCCATCCTCCTTCATTTTAGGGAGTTGGAAGGCATGTATATCTGGATGTTTAAAAGTTGGCAATAAGAGTGTATACATTTTGTGGAAGCATCCTGCGTAATAGCATAATTCTAGGCATAGGCTTTCTAATCAAATCCTGTAGGAGAACTGATAGCCTGAATACACATTCTCTCTGGCAGCATCATGCTTTTTATCAAAATTGCTGAAAAAAAGGCCATTTTATGTTGTAATTCTGATTTATACTTACCGTCTGTGGGAAGTAGTGCTATCATTCTAGTATTTGAAACAGAACGTGTGTTTATTACTTCCCAGCTTTGCGTGGTGTCCCTGGCATTGTTCAGAACTCTCATTGGTTTACACTGTGAAGATGTGATGTTACAGCTAGTTCTAAGGTGAGTCAGAATTTTTGTTCCTTCTTAAAAAAACTCTCTAAACTACTATATTATTTTATTTTGGTAATATAAGTTAAGTAGGGACCTTACCTCTAAGGAAGAAACTCATTAAGAATGTGAATTTAATTTCTGCATTGTTTCCCAAGGTTAATTTTAATTTCACTAATAAAAGTTTTAGGAGGCCATATGCATTATATTATAAATATACTCCTGAAAACCATAGATAGAATGTTTAGAAAATTTCAGGAGTATCATGAAAGTTCTTCTGGTACATGACTGAATGTCTTTCTCCTGAAGTGCATCGTTAGGGGACCTGTGTTATGAAAACAACTTTTCCAAATATGAAGTACTGTTGGTATATAATTTCTTTGACTCCTACTGTGTGCACTATCTGACCTGTGAGTATGTTTCAAATTCAGTAAATATTTAATGAGTATCTTCTGTGTACGATTAAGAAAGGAGTAAGGCGTGGAATATACAAATAGAAAAGAATTAATGTACAAGGTAGAAAAGGTGTGTCCTTCAGAAGCAGAGGTGGGAAAGGTTTCATGAAGTAGCTGGTGTTTGAAGATGGGTATTGGGATTCAAATGGAGCCCTGGTGGCATAGTGATTAAAAGCTATGGCTGCTACCCAAAAGGTCTGCAGTTCGAATCCGCCAGCTGCTCCTTGGAAAACTTACGGGGCAGTTCTACTCTGTCCTATAGGGTTGCTGAGTTGGAATCAACTCAACGGCAATGGGTGTTTTTTTTGTTTTTTTTTTTTAAATTTTTTGGCTGTAGTTAAGTGCTCTGTTTATCCTTTATACAAGAGAATGAGTGTTAGAATAAAACAAAACAGTTGCCATTGAGTCAGTTCCAACTCATGGTGACCCCATATGTGTCAGAGTAGAACTGTTCCGTAGGGTTTTCGATGGCTGATTTTTTGGAAGTAGGTCATCAGGCCTTTCTTCCGAAGCACCTTTGGGTGAACTCAGGCAGCTGGCCCTTGACCATAAACCAGAGTAGGTCAGATCAAATCAGCAGTTCAGAGGAAAAAGACCAGGAAACAGGTTTCTTGAGTGCCTATCATATGCCTACTTTTTCATAAATCGTCTCATTCAGTCTTCTTATCATCTCCCCCAGGCATTGCAGTAGAATTGGAAATATAGGAGGTATTCAGTAAAGGACAACTATTATTATTATTTTTAAGTTTAAAAAGAGTTTTTAGACTTTCTTAGGGGTTTCACTCAGGTCATCAGTAACTAATCTTAAGGCATTAGCAGAGAACAAATCTAACCACAAAGAAGCTGCCTGGGTAGTCTGGGGTAGAGCAGTAGTTATCAGCTCTAAAAGGATTACTTAACTCCCCATCCAGCCTCTCCTAATATGACTGACTACATTAGAAAGGCCTGAATGAGATCCAGAAGCAACTTGTTAAAGCCTTTTCTATTGCCAAAAACAAGGATTTGCCTCCAACATGGGCAAAACCTAATTGGATTTAAATGTTTAATTCTTTGATATTGCTTCTCAGATGGGTCAAAAGCAGCCATCTTTTTCCATGTACTGGGAAGCCTGGTCTGAGTCAGAAGGTGCAAAACTTTTCAACTCTGGGTCATCAGGTCAGATTTAGCGCAGATGGGGGTAGCTTTTGCTTGCTGGTTGTTCAGTGACCTTTACAAGTGACCTATGATCACCTTTTGCCTGCCCATAAAGTGGTGTCTGTGTGTTAAAAACTGTTCTGGAGGCAGGGCCAAGATGGCAGAGTAGTCAGACGCTTCCAGTGGACCCTCTTACAACGAAGACACAAAATAACAAGTCATTCGATTACATATGGCAATCTGGGAGCCCTGAACATCAAAGGCAGAGTTGAGGAACCGGACTGAGTGGCAGGGGGAGGGAGAGACGGATCGGAAGCTGCAAGGAGTTGCCAGACCTGACCTGGCAAGATCCTGAGCCCTTCAGTCCTGATCGGCTCGCAGGTGAGCGGCGAGGCAGGCAAGCAGCCGAGCGGGAGATGCGTTTTCAGCACTGGGAGATACCCACGCCTGAGTGTACATGGCCACACAGAACCAGTGAGAAGCAGCCCTCCACGGAAGATAAGTACTTGCATACAGCTTACTGCATGGATCAAAAACACCCCCCTTAGGGAAAAACCTCTCTCCCATTTACCTCCCTACTCCCTGCTCTGCACTGGGTCCTGGACCAGCTTCAGCAGTTGCTGAGTCCCCTGGGCTGGAAGTAGGATCTGTCACACACCCAGAGCCATTCTCCCTGCCTTGGAGAGTGAACAAATTAACAAATGGGAAAAAATACACTGCCGGCTCGTCTAAGCCAGGAACCCAGGATAGGCATAGCTCCTTTGCCTGGGCACAGGCATAAGGGATCCAAAGACTTTGAGTGCCTTTCCCCCTGCATGGACTTGTGTGGGCCCATCTCAACAGCATAGGCCCTCAGTACCACAGTACAACAGGGTATATACCGGAAGCCTAACTTCAACTCTTTCAGCTGTGAAGCGGCAGGTTCTTGACATTTGACACTGCTCTGGCCATTTAGCAGGGTCTTCACCTACCCACATCAGGGGCCTGAGGACTGGTGGCACCACCCATGCAAGAGGGACCCATGAATAAGAGGTGCCGCCTAGTCCTTACAGCCAACAGCATTAGGCGCTCATAGTCTGGCTGCAAAACCCATCCACCTATGCGCTCTAGTGAACAGGGATACACCTTCTTCCTGGACACTCGGGGGCGGGTGTCAGCCCCCTGCCTTACTCAGAGTGTGTGCCCCTGCTACAGCCAGATGCCTGTGCCTACGCCAATTACCCATGCCTGTCTAGGACTGTAAGTGAGAGCCTACACCACGCACTCAATGGCTATCTACCTGGGCACCTGAGCTGAATCCATTCAAGAGGAGTGGGTGGACTCCTGAGCTCACATACCTAGTAACAGATCTAACCACCTGGTGACAGGACATTCGAGCTTCAAAGGTGCCAATAATCGAACTAGTTCATACAAGCAGCCTATTTGGGCATAGCAAAACAAAACAAGAAGCTAGGACACAGTAAGGAACCATAAAATAAAT